TCGGCTGCTGTCGTCGTCCCGCGCAGCCCCTCCAGCCCCCAGCCGCGTGATCTCCTCCAACGCGGCGGCCGCAGCGTAGAGCAGCTCCGCCAGGCGGGAGTGAGCCAGCCGAAGTCCCTCGGCCGACGCATCCCCTCCTTCCTGTCGTAGCAGCGCGGGTGTACTCGGCCCCGGCTGCTCCGATCCGACCTCGGCCATCTCTGGTGGTGATTCGGCCGTGGTGTCTTCCATCTTTGACTCTCTGGTACGTGTCGTCCCTCGTGTGTCCATCGTTGAACGTTTACTTCTGACGCCAGATGTAATAAGTATTTAGGAGGCTTGGACGACGGGGTCGGAGGCACACTTATTTATTAACACCAACTCGTGCACAGTAACGGGTACACACAGTACTTAAAGGGATATCGTCCCCTTCACTCGTCTAACAGGGAGACACAACATCTAACCCCGCTAACCTACGCCCGAGTCCTCCACTACGGAGCTAGGGGAGGCTACCTATCGCAGCCCTGGTCAAGCTGGGATCCCGGCACCCTGAGTATCCAGACCGGCTCTTATAAGAACGTCAGTCTGGGCTCTCGGGGCCACGCCACCGGCTTGCCCTGGTCGGCCCTGACAAGGACAGCGAGCCAGGGGAGCGCTGGGGCCTATTCTAGCTGGTCTTCCGTCTTCGCTGGTTTAAACTAATACTCGACCTCGAGCCCTCCGGCTCACCACCTTTTATAGTACTCGGCTCCCCCGGGAGGGGCCCGTGGGGGATGAGTGCGGACGTCGGTGTGAGCACCTCCTCTGTGTACGGCTCTAACCACGTCCCTTGTGTTTGTTAGCCATCCGTGCCCATGCATAAATACACCTCTACACTAGTAACAAATTGGCATGTTTTGTTTACGTGACCAAACCTTACTAATTGGCCGTGTCGGGTGCCGGCGGGTTCAACAACACATTTATATTTACGCGATCTAACCCTAAAAATCGTCTTATGGATAATATTGGTCGTGAAAGCTTACTGCTTGTTAAACAGTATTGGCTTTGACCTGCGAACACGGCCGAATAGTTGAACCTGTTTTGTGGGTCCTAGCCTTCTCGTTGACCCTGTGTGCAAATCTGTCACTGTGTATTAAAAAATGAAAGCACCCTTATGTAACAGTGCAAGCCGATTATTCCTAACAGGATGTGATGGTGGGGCTGTTGTCACGAGGTATCAGGGCTATGCATAGAAGAAGAGGCGCCCATACTGAAGCGTGTTTTCCAGAAGAGACAAATTAACAGCAGCACAAACCACAATTGTGGGATTGAAGACACCCATCATGCTTACCCACGGGTTTTCATCTGCTTGACGAATGAGAATTACGAAAATTACGAAATGGGGCATAAACAGTTGTCTGTCATTGGAAATTACACTTTCTGTTATTTTCAAATTTACATTTATTAAGTGACTCCTTGGTTTATACGTGGCTGTTGAGCTTTATTGTTTGTAAAAAAAAACAGATATACAGCAATCATATAAACAGATAGAAAGCAGTTGAAAGCCAGTGCTCATCACGTCGAGTTTTATTATTGTCATAAACCAAGTCAAATTGCCTGATTGCTCATCTCTATTGATGACCCTGAACCAGAGGATGTCATGTCTATATTTATTTTAGGACAACCACCAGTGTCTCCCTGCGCAAACATATATTGGGCCATTGCTTCCATCTGTTGGCAGTTTTGGGCTGTCATTGGAAATAACACATTCTCATGTCAAGGGCCTGTCTCTTTTACAAACTTCTGTCGAGTGGCTACAAAGTAGGACTCATTGAATGTGGAATTTCCCTGCGTAGATCATCGCTAATGTACCGTTATTTTAACACCTTACGAACCCCCCAGATCTCAACGAACGGATGGAGGACCATCTTGTACATTGTAAAATCTGGCGAGGATTTATATTGTATTGATTCGTGCGAGTGGCAGTGATCTCGCTGGGGAAAATGAATACGAGCATTGTAACTGGTACGAACACTAGAACTGGGTTCCCTACCTGACACCACCACTCCCTGTTCTAAACCGCCCACCATTCCACAGGAGAACCGCTTGTTGGTATTAGGGTGTTTGTTTCTGTATTATAAATTCAAACTATTTAAACAATACATTTTTATTTTATATTGCCAGGTAAGGCCCACTTATAGCTCCGTTTCAGAAGCGACCTGGCCACAAATGAAAGCTCAACGAAGTGGCTAATCACGCGTTAACTTTAAGCATCCAAGTATTCAAAGTCTCACATGTCACCCGGGCAAAGCGACCGTGAAAGATCTTGGCTTCACTCTATGGAGTCATGAAGATGAACTATGTGCTTGCACACTTGGTCATGTGGATGGTACCATCACCACACCTCTCGATCTAAAACTAAACTTTTCATTTTTCCACGTAAAGCCCACTGAGCTATATAGCTCTTTTAAAAAAAAGACCTGGCCACAAATGATGGCTCAGTGAAGTGGCTTATAATGCGGACATATATAGCAGCCAAATACTCTAAACTCATGTTCACTGTAAATCTGGAGGGAAAAACCAGAGTATCCGGAGAAAAATCCACACGACCATGGGGAGAGAGAGAACATGCAAACTCCAAATATTTAGGTATCAGGGTCGGAATTGAACCCACAACCTCCTCCATACCAGGCGATGGAGGTAACATTTCGCCATTGGTTTGGCATGTTTATCATGAAATTTTGATTCCACGGTCCATGATCTGGTGCTATGGTTGAGGATGTGGGAATATTTGGATAGTGTTGATTAGTGACTGTAATATCTTGGCACATGAGTTAAAGCGTCAGTGCAAACAAGTTGTTATTCAGAAACTTTCCACACTTTTTAACCCGTAATTAGGGGTCGGCACGGTTTGAACCGACTCAAACTGGTTTCAAATTGAGCAAACCAAACCAAACCAGCGACGACTGAACCAAACCAAACCAAAACCAAACCAAACTAAGCTAAACCAAACCTCTTGAGTTGGCTTGAACCGAAAAGATGCGCGGCAAACAATATTCGCATTCAATACAAATATCAAGTGTATTAATCGCTAATTTCTACGCAGGCTTTCTTCATATTGAGATTCACTAGCAAGTACTGGACGACGATGTCGTCCACAGCCATCTCCTCAAGCTTGGCACGCCCAATGTCCTTGAACGCAGTGTGGTAGTTCAATGGCAGTGAAACCCCAACACTAGGCAACATCCGCGCCCACGAGCGCACACACATCTCGGCCTTGAACGTGCACTTGTGCAGGTTTGGTCGGTCGAGAAAGGAGCGCTTGGCGGCCGAGTTTGCTCTCTCGGAGGGCACGGACGACGCCAGGGATAGGCAAATAGTCGAGGGCCACGCGTCGTAGGCGCGGGTACTTGCCGCCGTACAGCTTCCACCACTCGACGACGTCCATGCTCAGGTCCTGAGTCGGCTCAAGCAGGAAGCGGTCGACCTCGGAGGTGGCGCCGTCGTGAGCATTGGGCGCGTAGACCATGTCAAAGAGGATGTTAATGCCGCCACGCGGCGCCGAAGGCGGCGCCGCGTCCGTCGTCAACGCTGGGTAGCGCTGGTTGAGAATGTCCGTCATCATGTCCTTGATATTGCTGTACTCGGCCTTTACAACCAACCAAACTAGTTTGAGCCGGTTCCACCCTGTCCGAGCCAAACCGAGTCGGTTTTCGTAGCCCCAAACCGAACCAGTTCAAACAGAGCCAAACCAAACCGATTTGGTTCGGTTCAAACCGCGGTTTGGTGGTTTGAGCCAAACCGTGCCGACCCCTACCCGTAATCAATCATTTTTTTTTCATCTAAATTTAGTGGAATGTAGCTTGCTGTGTATTATCGATATCACAATTCACCTTATGACTAAACTTTATGCACGGAGGTAAAAAAACTGTTCAGATGAGTCTCTCATTCAGTGTTTAAATAAAAGTCGAACCATTGATGCGGTGCCATTGTCTTGGTACAAGCTTGAAGCTGTGGATTTGTTTAAATATCAGTTGTAAGGGACCAGTGGTGTCAAAACAAAGATTTGAATAAAAAGCCAATGTATGGCATTTATATTTTACTGTCAAAGTGTTACGTCGTAGAACCACGCGGAGACGGAACGTCTTGTAAGGGCTTTCGCCGTTTATTAACACGGTTTAAACACTTGGCTTACACCAGGGGTAGGTGTTCTCTATACTCGGTCCTTCCCATGGACCCCCAAGCTCTACTTGTCCTAACCTCGGCTATGCCTTGGGCTCTCTCACTCGGGCCCAGACGGGGGTTCATCCAACACCGCCCGGCCGAGGAGAGAAGAACCCCACTCACTCTCAGCCGATTCTCACAGACTTCTTCGAGCCCTACTCTCGACTATCTCTTCGGCTCTCCCACTCGTCGATCCCAGACGGGGGTTCAGCCAACACCATCCGGTCACGAGCGGGAGAGACCTCTTTCAGCCGATCCACACTCCGGGCTCCCACAATGAACCCCGCCTTCGTCATGGGGTCCCCCTTAAGTACCCCTTGGGCGGCTCCTCCCCTTTACTCGGACCCGCCCCTGTTCTCAAAGTTGTCTCCTTACAGCGCTCATGACATGACGTCATCACACCTTACAGCGCCCATGACATGATGTCATCACACTACTCCTCATTCATGTCAGTGCCATAATTGAAATCTGCTTCTGTGAATTTAAATATATCACCCCTCAAATCTCACCTTCTGTCCATTGGATGACGTTCAGATTTCCTCTAACAAGCCAGGCTTTTATAAGAGTTAAGTGACACAACTCCCTCTGTGTCCTCTGCGTCACGACATAGCTGAAGCCGCACATCTCCACTTTGCGGTGCAAGTTCAAGGACTCTAGCTTGGCCGGGACATCACCAGAGGTCATGATAGCAGCGTGTCAGAAAGTCACGGTGGTTTGTTGAGTAAGCTCCCAGGCTGTTGTCGTTGGATGCACATGCTAGCTATGAACGTACAAAATAAAATCGTTTTTTTTTGTTTGGGTTGTGTCTCCCTCCAAAGAATATCTGTTCTGAGCAAGATGGGGAGAGTTGGACTGAGCAGGAGGAGGGAGCTGGGTGCAGCGCCCGAGCAGGGTCCCTATGCAGTGAGGGCCCAGCCCAGGCCCCTGTGGCAGCTGTCAACGCAGCGCATGGCAAAGCGGCGCCGGCAGAGCGGGAGAGGGCGGCCGAGTTGACCGCCCGTGTTCCGTTCAAACGGAAACTCGGCGATGCGAAAGACGAGATCACCAAACGGCTCAAGACGGAAGGTGAGCGGCCTCGCTGCTCTCGCCGCCATCATCGTCGTTGTTGTTATCGTCTGCTTAAGTCGCGCTACTTTCATGGTTATCCTCGTCTTAGAATCCTCATCATCGCATGCAACATTGTCGCCATCGTTATAATCTGGTCAACATCATCATGATCATTACCACCAAAAATAAATGCAATCACAAGCACCACCGCAATAACCTCCATCATTTTCATCTCCATTAACACCTATAACTATCTTATAATCACCATCAATATATGGGGTTGAGATTCGTTCAAGGCCTTTGTTCTCAGCCATTGTGCAAAGCCTTAGTCTATCAAAATTTTTCTGTCATGAAGCAGTGCAAATGAAGAATGGGATGACCTTGCTTTGGAGTTTGCACTTGAATAATGCTTTGCTGAGTGAATGTGGCCAAACAAGAGCGGAGCGTGTTTGTGCACCTGTCTATCGCCGTGTGCTTGTTGGAAGACCCACAAGGTCATATGTAATATAAATAAATCAAGGGACTGGTCCAGTCCCTGACATTAACATCACTCTGAAAATCAAGGAGCAAGCACAGCTCTGAGCGAGTGGAAGCACAATAAACGATCCCAATAAGTGCTCTTCCATTGTCCAAACACATTCACTGTGTCACTTGCATGTGTTGTCAGTTTTTTAAAGAACTAATGCCTTTTATGAATAACTTCTCTGTATTTGCCAGTGGCAGTGTTAAGACTTTTAGAGACTGGTGCGCATTCGTAGAGTTAATTATAATAAGGCTTTTGCGGTACCCCAGGGAAGTGGTGACCCTTTAAAGTTGTTTAATAAGTCTGATACATAGCTATCCTAGTTACCTTATTAAATAGATGTGTTTTAAAAATTATTATATAAATGGCAATCGTCGTAACTAGCATAAATAAAAGGTAGAAAGTACTATGCTACAAGAAGTGACTTGGCTCAGACCATAATGAATGTGCAGGGGAAATCACATGGAAGGCCAGAATCACATCTTAAACGTCCAAAATGCACTTTTACGTGGGTGATTTGCCCCACCGACGATGGCAGAGACAGTGGCACCTCTTGTAGTTCAAAATTGGACGCGCGCAAATGCGTGACATTGGCTTTTTGCGGTGGAGCTCGGGGACACGTTTCCAGATGGCGAGACAAAGACGCGGGGGGGGGGGGGGATTGGTGGGGCGTGTGTCGTGCTGCCGTCTTTTCGCCTGCCACGTGGATCTGCGCCTGTGTGCAGAGGGGAAGGGGTGTGTGCGCCCTTTTGACAGACCGTCTTTGCGTCATAGGTGGTGAACCGGGAGCCGACCTGCAGCAGGGGGCCAGCACGGGCAGGAGGTGGATGGTGCAAGCCAACCTCATCGATGCCTCTGACCTGGAGTGCTCCCTCTGCATGCGGTGAGCCCATCGCTCTTTTCACAGATGTCCAGTAGGGGCGGGTCCGTTACGACAACAAACAATACGAAAACGCGAACAGGAGTGCAAAGTATAGGAAAGGTAAACATATCGCTTAAAAAATATATACAAATAAAACTACCAAAAAATTCGTATCTTTCCAGATAAAGTCCTTTGAGCTTATTAGCTTCTTTTTCAAAAGTGACCTGGCCACAAATGACAGCTGAACAAAGTGGCATTCACCTGAAGCTGCCAAACTCTCGGAGCCAGATTAACCCATGTGCAATTGTTGTGGATGTAATGGGCTCAAAATGTGCATCCTCATCATCGTCGTTGTCACCTATCCACTGCTGGATAAACGCCTCTCCAAGTCATTACCACCGCTTATAGTTTTGTTGTGCCACAATCTTGTCTTCACCTCCTCCTCCTGCACATGGGCTGATTTGATCACTGCATCTCCGCTGTGGTCTTCCTCTCAAGAGTGTTCCCCCCTGTGGCTGCAACTCTGTTCCACACGTTTCTTCAACTAAATGGCATTGACAAAATTTGCTTTCTACGATGCGTACACAGTTGGACGAGAACTTTAGTCCGCACCCACCCCCCAAAATATTTTTAGCACGTTTGGTTACGTACGGTGCGAAAGAAGTTAAACATACATATATACAGTCCACACGTACAATAAACATCAGCCCACCACACAGGTTTTATGTTACGCTTTGTCCCGCTTGTGCTTCATAACATTGGTTGGATCGTTGAGCATTGTCCTTGCATCATTTTAAGCATAGGGACTCCCAGCCTGGCTCGTGCAACAGAGCAGAATTAACTTGGAGCCATCGAGCTACATTATAAACATCCTTGCACAAGGACAGAGCCTGAGTCCTCTGGCAAAAGGTGAATGGGAACCTGTTACGAAGGTGACACAAGGGTCTGTGTGTATGGGACTTCCGAGTTGAAGTTCTCTTCGGAAAGCAACGACTGAGAGCCTCATTCATTCGTTCATCTTTTGGAAAGACAGCTTCCAGCAGTGTTGAGCTCAAAATGGTAAAGTTGTCAAACTTCTGTACGGATTTTATTTTACCACAAAAAACTTCAGTTATTTGGTTTCTGCCAAGACATGAATGTGACAGCAAGGGCGGATACACGAAATGAACAGATGGGTGAATCATCAGTCTGTTGAATAACGTATTTCTTAATGGGTTCCGAGTGGACTGTTTAAGCACAGGGTCGATCTGCTGGATTACGACCACACTTGATGCGCTGCTCGCCATGCGGCCCTCTCTTACTTATCCTTGTTAACTGATTTAATTATCTCAACAAGGTTCAGTTTGTAGGAAAGCGAGGATTAAATGACAGAGGCTCATGATATTTCCATTCATTTTATTTCTCCTGGATGAGGTTTGTTATTGTTTGCAATGGTTCCTTTTGGTGGCTAATACAATCCATGGTGTGTGTAGTGCAACGTTACTTCCGTGCCAATGTTTAAATTGCAGGAAAAGCCCATTGAGTGTTGGGCGTCCGTGCTCTCATGTGTAGAGTATTAAAATCACGGTGTTAAATGTGCTGGTGTATTGTTTATTATGAAAAACAAAAACAGTATTTCAGGAAACAAATTAATCTGGACTCTAATTATTCTTTGATTCATACTGCTCTCTTTTTCGGTGAGGTACGTCTACTTTAATTGATTGCCTCTTCATTAGCACAAACCAATACAGCCTTTCAGTTGAGTTCTTGGGTTCCTTTATCACCCAGAAATTTGTAAATTAATGAAAGGTAAATTAAGCTACGTGTATGCATGTGTAAGTCAGTTTCTAGGTGTCTAGCCTGAAATGGGAAAGAAAGATCGCAAAATAATTTCATTCAGGTTGCGGAATCTGACCGTTTCTATCAGAAAACGTGAAAAGGTCTCCCAGCTGAAAATATCTCTGGATGACAGAAATTCCACATTGTCTCATAGAAATCCCACATTCCCATGTGGAATTCTACATTTTCACGTGGAATTTCTACCTGTGGAACCGGTTTCTCCATAGAAAAGCGACCCTTAATGTTCCACAAAGCAGTACTCGGTTTATTGATCTGGAATCTATTCTCGGCTAAATTGCTGAACGACTGCAGATGATGTCTATGAAACACAGCAGCACCTTTGTGATAGCCCTAAGCTATACGAATGGCGTGAATACCAAATGTACTAAATAGTAATTGTTATGAAATTGACCGAATTTATATATGGCAACATTGCAATGGTGAGCCGATAACTCTGAACCAGAGTGTCGTGCAACCAGTGGGAGTCTCACTCATGAAATAGAATCAGAATATCCTGGAGAAATCCGATGAGCTATGAAGCTCTTTTTCACAGATGTCCAGTGGTGGCAGGTCAGAAAGTTTCAACAACAAACAATACAAAAACAACGATAAAAGTGTAAAGTATAGCAAAGCTACGTAAATCACTAAAACATAATTGAAAATTAAGAAATTTATAAACTAAACTATGTCTTCGTTATTTTTCATAAGCAGCCTGGCCACAAATGATAGCTCAATAAGGTGGCTTATCACATGGAAATGCATGGAAATGTAGCAGCCAATAAATCAACGATCCTGACAGCCCTGCCTCCAAATACACTCAAATGCAGAAGAGACCGATCATCACAGATATGAGTCACCACATCTAGAGTTGGCTTTGAGCTGAATGATTCAGTGTAAGGTTCTGCTGTAGGCACGGTCATACCCATTAATCATGAAATGTAATTTATTTTCAGCGTAATGCATAGAGGTGCTCGCAAGAAAATGAAATGACCACTGGGTAATGCTGTGGCAGATCTCTTGACCCAGAATTGGAAGATTGAGTGATTTCAGTTGGGGGTTGACTCAGCTCTTACCCGCTTTTGCGCTGATAGAATGAATATCATTATGTGAAAAGTCAGCGGGGACTGTGCTACATTATTTGCCATAGGGATGGGAAATTGTATTCACTGGCTCAGGTTCACCAATGACCCTGAGCACCAATCAATGTTTTTGCCAGGAGAAAATTCAACTTGATTCTTTGACTGATGTGGGTTTTTTCTTTTAACTAATTCTCATTTATATCTCAGAAATATGTAGCTGATTTTTGTTATGTGGTAATTCCATAATTCATAAACTTGACCAATTTACTTCGACAGCATGAGAAGACTATAAGCTTACAGGAGGTAGTCTCAAGCTAATTAAGACTGCCTCTCGTAGAGATATTGTGTTCACTTCCACTAATCCCTCTCCGCACTGCTGCGATGCAGCTGTCGCGCCAGGAAATACAAGACAAATGGGCTTCTTACGCAATTCATTTCGTACAACACTCCTGTGATGAATTAGAACGAGGGCACCACAGTTGTGCCAGATGCAGTGACAGTCTGAACACTGGTTCATTTTAAACTAGCTGTACTACCCGGCTTCACCCGGGACTTGGATCCACCACGCGCGGCCGCCTTTGTCTCCCCAGTGCCGATGTTCACACACCACAGCAGTTACTCGTTTGAGGCTGAGTCGACCTAGGGGAGGCCCAGGAGCGGTTGAAATAATCGTCACCGGTGGTGGTTGTGAGCGGGAATCGAACTCGGGTTCGCCGGGTTCGTAGCGCAGCGCGCTAACCACTAAACTACAATGCGTTACGCTTCAACATGCGCGGGTCACGTGACAGATTTGACGTCACAGCTCACTTGCCGTGCAAAAATATATGCATTATTGAGCTCCCCCCCCCCCCCCCCCCCAAAAAAAAGTGTATTTTTATAATTTTTGCATGGTGTACAGTCTGGAAAGTACCCACATGTCAAATTTTAAGTTTGTTGCATGTCGGGAAGTACGCTAAACATTTTGAACAGACACATATTCACAACTTTTCCTTTTATATATATATATGGAGACTACCTTTTTTTTTTTACTGCCTTCCTGTTTCCCCTCTATCCAGCTGTGATGAGAGCAGTCCGCTCACCATTGTTAGGCTGCAAGTTCAATCCCAGTTGGGGTTGCCACTCAACCCCGTGAGATATACGTACGCAGGACATATGAGAATGAACGTGGGAGCTTCCGGACACAAAGTCAAAATGTTTCCTCTCCTCTGAAAAGTGTGGCGTGGCATTCATCTCTGTCGATGGCCGTGAGTCACTGGCTTAAATTCCACATTTCTGTGGCAGGGGTCTTTCACGAGAGAGAACCGCGGTTGATTTTTCACAAAATTATACTCATTTGATACTCAAAAATTATACTCATTTTGTTGACCTTACAGGGATGAAGGGCTGAGTTGACCCCTACCCAGGATATTAACTCGCAACCTTATGACTGTGAATCAGGAGTTTTAACTAAAGTGTCAACAGTTGTCATGATGTAAAAACGTCTTGCATGATTTTCCAGCTCTGTTCCTCATGCTCAAAATTATATTATTCACCCTCTCGTTTTTATTCAATTCCACAGACATGTCATCTCCATCAGTCATGTAACTTATTTATATATAAACACATTATTTGGCTTTTGTAAATTTACACATGATAAGCCACTTCATTGAGCTATCATGTTTGCCCAAGTCTCTTCTGAAAAAGAGCTATATAGCTCTGAGCTTTACATTGTAAAATAAAAAAAATGTTAATCTCTAAAATAGTTAGTTAATCCTATCACCAAAGCACCCAGAATATGCCCAACCTGATCACATCTTAACCTGAGCAGTTTTTTAGACTGGAAAGTGCTTGGATGGGTAACCACCATGCATAGCACAGGCCTCAGAGGCTGCTGCTGGCTGTGTTTGTGCAGCAAAATCCATTGTTGTGGTATACTTGCTCCAGTAGTACCTACAACCAGCACTGACCAGCATGGTGAAGTATGGTAAAAAAAATTCCCATGGCCCGCATGCCTTGGGGAGGCCATTATCTAGCAGTGGATTTACAAAAGGGCTACACACACGTGCACACATTCACCGCGAGTGAACGTGAAATTTTATTGGATGCATTTTCCATAGCCTTTCTTTTACCCCTGGTACAATGAAAAAAAAGGCTTATTTGCTACATGGGAGGCTGGTGCTCCGGTCCCGATGGTGCCTTGCAGCTTGCAGTCTTGAGCAGTATTTTATGCAGGTGCCTAATCGGCAAGAGCCATCCTGGATTTCACTCCCCGTGGTTTTGGGTTCCGCGTGTCTTAAAAGAATGCATTCAAGCCTGGAAAACCAGGCTACGTGTCACTGCAGTGAGTTAATGTTCTTTGTGGGAGCTCTCCATAGAATTTCTCCTTAGCGTGGCATCGTCTTTTTGCGTATGACAGGAAAAGTTTAGAATGTGATGTCTAGGATGGCGATCCCCTCAATTGCTTCCCGATATGCTAAGTGGAGAAACGAAGTGCCTCTCACACCAGATCTCAGTGGGCAGGTTTATGCGATGTGTCTGGGACTCATGGCCACAGACACACTCGGGGTCACATGCTGGACAGGGCATGAAGTACCAGGTGTCCTCCTGCTGGTGCCGTTGAATTATCGTATTGCACTGAGCCCAGGGAAGACGCGGAAAGTGTTGTGATCTGGTGAGATAAAACAGTCAGTCTGGTAGGACCTTTAAACTATAAGCTAAACACATTTAAAAAAAAAATTATTTTACCAGGTAAGGCCCATTGAGCTATGTAGCTCTTTTTCAGAAGCAATCTGGCCACACATGATAGCTCAATGAAGCAGCCAAATACTCTAAATGAATGTTTCTAAATGTGGAGGGTAAACCGGAGGACTCGAATAAAAATCCACACGACCACGGGGAGAACACGCAAACTCCAAATATACAGGCATCACGGTCGTGATCGAACCCACGACCTCCTGCATACCAGGCAAGGTAACATCTCGCCACCGTGGTGCATGGGTGGAGGAATCGATGAGTGCTTGACTAAAAAATGGAAGGATGCGAGTTTAAATCAAACTCAACTTTTGGTAAAATGAGGACTACTTTGTAGGACACCAACCGTGGTTGTCCTGTGCAGAGACTGTGCCCTACTCGAAGAATGTGGAGTTTACACCACTGGCTGAAGCCTGCCGATGGATGATAAGCACCACCCAATGCTTTTGATTTAATATGAACTGCATTGAAAATTAAATGTGAACATTATTCTTGATGCTGTCGTCTAATCTAGGTCACTTGGCGATATTGTACATTATTCAAAGACAGGCTGAATTAATCCTCCAGAATCGAATTATGCACAGCTGATCCAAAGGTTGTGCGGTTGTCTAATCACGGTGATCGGTCTCATCTGATCGCCAGACGGTGCTGTGCCCTTTTACTTAAGCCCATAACCTGTGTCCGCATTACGCAACTATTTTCTAGGTCTCTGAGCATTCGGACCGCTTAGGTAACACCGCTTAATGGCTTACCATGATAGCGTCACTCCTCAAAACCCACATCAATGCATAACAATTGTGACTTGCCCTTATTTTTTCTGCTAGAGCTTTATTTTAATAGTTAAACAAAACCGGGTGAAGCATCTCTCCTCCGCATTTTCGAGAAATGGAGCTACACCCATTACTGTTCGCAGATCTTGAGCCGGTAGTGGAATTCCATTTTCCCATGGCAAAGGCCAGGCTTTCCATAGAATGATCACTTTTGCTGAATTATCACAAAGTGGTAGTAATTTTATTCACCCAGGATTAATGGTTGGTTGATTGAATAGTCTTATGTACCACATGTATATAGTCTTAATTATATCTGCTTATGAAAGTGGAAAGAATCCATGGTTAACAAAGTTGTGCATACCGAGGAAGGTATTCTGGGTAAGTTGGTTGTAGAAAAAATGAGTATATTGAAATATGAAATCCCCATCTATTAATCATGGGAGAAGATTCCACCAGCGAGTAGTGCCTTGGAGTGGATCATGGTGCGTCGTAAATGACCGTCCTTTGAGTTTGCTCGTCTATGTGTCGGACCCCCCCTACCTCCCCACCCACACCTCCTCTTCCCACTGCAGCCTCTTCTACGAGCCGGTGACGACCCCGTGTGGACACAGCTTTTGCCGGAAATGCCTGGAACGTTGCCTGGACCACACCCCCAAGTGCCCCCTCTGCAAGCAGACACTGGCTGAGGTGAGGCGACTGCACCCGACTCGCAGTCGGGAAATCAGAAGGCACTGAATTCAAATCAGAATATTTATAATGGAAGAATTCGATGAGCTATAAAGCTCTTTTTCACAGATTTCCATATCATTGCCCCAGGTGGGGGGGGGGGGGGGGGGTCAGCTCGACTCATCACGACTCTGGGGTGAAGAAAATTCGTACCCGTTTCGTGAAAAGTCAATGACTTAAACCAGGAGTGTAATTTACACTCTGCCATTGCAGGAAATAGTTTTGGGTAGAATTACCACTGTTGCCTTTCCATAGAGTGATACTCATTTTATCTACCCCAGAGGGATAATGAACTGTCGTCTACTGACTCCGTGACCTGGGTTAAATTTACAGTCATACACAAAATAGTGACATCGTGTAGGTCAACTCAGCCTTTAACAAGTGACCTGGTGCAGCGTGTAACATGAACCCGAGGGAGACGGATGCGGCCAGGTGTGGTGCTGGTCACAAGACGGCTTCATGTGCCACGTCAGCCTTAAAAAAAAAGTGCTCTCTCTCAGCATTTTTCACCCTGTGGGCTGTAACAGCCCTCTTCCACTGGCACATCAAAGCCACACCAGCGAGGTTCCCTCAAGGTGCAGGTGGTTTTCCACTGGCTATTTGCCGAGGCGAGGCAGAGCCAAAGCGTGAAACTGGCGTCGCAAGACATCTGAGTCTGGCTCGGGCCGAAGCAGGTCCAGGGGCGAGGTTAATCATTTTCGTCGTAGGCGCGCCTCGACTCGTTCATTGCATGTGACGTCATCAAATGTGGCTCAGGTTCTGCAGTGGAAAAACCCACCTGGCATCGCTTGAGCCACGCTGTGCAGGCCAGACACAGCTCCGGTGTGACCCTGTTGCACAGTTGAATAAAAAAATTGGTTTGAGACTAAACAAGAGCATGGGTGGTGGGCATGGTGCGTGTGCGCCGCAGTACCTGGCACAGCGGACATTCCCCCAGACTGTGCTGCTGGAGGACATCATCTCTACCTGCCTCCCTAACGAACTGGCCGAGCGCAAAAGCACACACGAGCAGGAGCTCGCTGAGCTCGCCAAGTAAGACCCAAAACCCCACACGCGCAATCGCTGTCCAGCAGCAGCAGGAGCTGAAGCAGCAGCAAGAGCAGGAGGAGCGGCAGCAGCAGGAGGAGCACCATTGGCACACAGCTGGCTCTGGCGGTTCACAACGCCCTCGTGCCAGCAGTGACTTTCATTTGGTTCATTTTTACGTTAAGAGTGAAAAGCCTGCCCCGCGGCTGTCTGTACAATACACACAGCATTGACACACTCGAACTACAACGTGCATAGGATAAGAGATGCGCTGTCAGGGACCCAGGAACGATAGTTTGCTTTTGCACAAGTTGAACAAGTAAACCCGTAAAAACAAAGTTTTTCACTATAAATCCTTTATATGCGTGGTGGCTAGAGTCTTCTCGTCCTCTGGCTTGAGATGGCTGCCACCTATGGGTCAGATGATTGTCTGCCAGTATTAAGCAATTGGTAATTAAATATTTAATTTGTTTTCCCTAAACAGTGTAAAATTTTGGAAGAAGATTTTCACGAACATTAATTGTCACGCACAACGAGTCTGTGGAAAATGTCAGCTCGATTGGATCACGGGAAGTGGGTTAAAAACGAGCAAAAGATTTGCACGGTCCTAAGCAAGCAAGCGAACTTAGTATAAAGGATTTAAAAATATATTCGCCTGTGGAGGACGCGGGGATCGATTTCGCGACCTTTGGCATGGGAAGCGAGGGCGCTACCAACTGCGCTACTCTGCCACGGCCTGTGGAGGGGTTACGTTCTGGGCTCCTACACTGTGACGTTCAGCCAAAGCCATGAATGAGTTCTATTTGAATAAATGTAAAATAATTTTTTTTTGCCTAAAAAGTGTTAAATTTTTGAAAAAAAATTTCACGAACATTAATTGTCTCGCACAACGAGTCTGTGTGGAAAATGTCAGCACGAATGGATCACGGGAAGTGGGTTAAAAAACGACTGAAAGATTTGCACGGTCAGTAAGCAAGCAAGCACGCAAGCAAGCAAGCACGCACGCAAGCAAGCAAGCGAACTTAATATAAAGGATTTAAAAAGACGAGGCAGTCGAGTAGGATAGCTCTCGTGTGGTAAATACAGCACCTATGGATTTGGAATTACATTTTCCAATTAAAAAAAGGGCACCTACAGTTATTAGTAGTAACTATTTGACACGAAATGAATACCCGATAGGCCTACTTCATGTTTTAGTATTTTAAAAAAACATAAAACCTCCTTGGCATGATGTTTATGATTGTGAATAACACTGATGTATGTATGTTGAGATTATTTCGCATCGTACGTAGCCAATTGTGTTAATTGGAGGTGCGACGGAAGGACAACAAACTAAACAAAAACGCTGTTCTCAAGATTTTTTTTTTCTGTGTAACATTGAATGAGCCCAACGAACCTTACTGGATAAATACATGACAATTTGCCTGGCTTTTGCAAACATCTTGCTGGGTTTAAAAAAATATATATATCATTGTTGCTTTGCACAGCCCCAAAGGTCCAAAACATCAGGGCATCCAGCAACAAACGGCACGATTGAAAATGTAACAGATGTTCGATCTTACCTTTCTTAAATTGAGCAAGGCTATATACGAAGTTGGGAAAATTAAGTTTTGGTGGAAATTCCAAAGTGGCGTATTGTGAGGAAACGAGCAGAAGGAGAAGTGTCATGACCTACAGTCAGGCTGCTAGACCAAGTCCTCGGTGTGGGTGGAGGAATCGTCGAGCATAGTTAACGGGAACAGTAGCAATCGTCATTGCACAAGAAGAGTCAAGTTTATTTGATTAGCCAGGTGAGAACTCAGGAGGCCAGGATGAGTCTCGTTTGCAAGAGGGACTCGAGTTACCATAATGACAAACGCAAGACGAAACAAAAAGTACAGCAATGAAGCAAATAGAAATCGGAGAAAAAAATACAATTTCACCCGAGAAGTCAAAAAAATTGCAAACACAGATTAACGTTAAATGATGCATTCCCTCTTATGGCGTAAGTCTTGCTCCAGCAGATTATTTTAGACCAATCATAGTTTAAGTACAATTATGCCCCTGTACAGTTCCCGTTCCACTAATGTGCATCGGGATGCCCACTTTTTATTGAGGGCGATATTGACACGTACAATAAACATTGAATGATTGAAATTGCAGAAAGCATCGCGCAGACACAGGTGGCCCGCAACTCTTGCGCCGTGTGCTCGTGTGTAACCGCGTGCGTGCGTGTCCCCCCCACCCTTTGCGGGTTGCAGCCTCAACAAGGACATGCCGATCTTCGTGTGCACCATGGCATTCCCCACCGTGCCGTGCCCCCTGCACATCTTTGAGCCGCGCTACCGCCTCATGGTGCGGCGGGTGGTGGAGGCCGGCACGCAGCAGTTCGGCATGTGCCCTGCCGACAACGTGCAGGGGTGAGATGGGGGAAGGAGAGGTGACCCCTGGCTCGGGGGCGGACATTGAGATGGTACCGCTAAATTGTGCGCACGAGTTGGCACCCCGGGTGTTCCAGTTACTCACATCAACTGAGTTGTCGAGCGCAGTGAGTTGATGGTCACTGCCTGGTCACCAACGATTGCACATGCGCACACACACAAAAAATTATCGACATCTTCCATGTTGTTTTATTTTAACTTGCAAATGTAGCGTTAAGATTCAAATAATGTAAATATTCTACCACCTGGCTGGGTTTTAATCATTTTGCCACAGTTACATTTGTACATATATATACATATATGTATTTCCATGTGAAAGGCCTTTAAGATACTTGAGCTTTAAAATACACCGATTCACAGGACTTCCACAAAAGTCGGTCTATTGAAGATGAAATAGGTATCCTGCTATTTTCTCAAGTATGTATTTGAGTGTGTACACCCAATGTGTGGACAGTGGTATATGTTTATAGGTTTCGATATTCTGCACCTCTGAATAGCACCTGCACCTACGATTTGCACGGTTGACTATGTACAGTGCGAAAGAAGTTCAACATATAGACATCCGTACATGCACATTAGTGGAATGCAGTATCTGAACATAGTCCTATGACTTCCTAGGTCAACTCAGCCTTAAATGAGTACTGCATGCAGTGTGTGAGCGTTCGCACTGGAGAGGCGTAAACTGCAGGCCATGGTGCTGTGGCCATCCCGTTCCCTATTGTGCCTGTGTTGGCTTTCGTAAGCGCTCGCTGTTTAAACAGCTTACGTGGCTAAATGGGGGATCTTTATCCTCTCTGTGCGTGTGTGACACATTGCAGTTGTATCGTGTTGCTAATGGGCCGCCTGCATCTGTGTTTATTTTTTTAGTCTGTTTGACCTCTCGGAAACAAGGACGTGTATAATGAAGCATTCCCTGGCTTCTGTGTGTTTATAGAGCCCCTATTTGGCAGACACAGGCAAGGAAGTGCTTTGCGCATTATAGTCTTACGAGGGGGGGGGGGGTGTGGTGGATGCAGTGATAACCTTATCTTAAGAATATTGGGGATCAGAGCCGATAATCAGTTGAGCTGTCTGTCCCATTTGTAGATTGCAGATTGCACGTGTGTTTAGTTTTGTTGTTGCAATGGCTATATAGTCCGGTTAACACTTTCAGGTGGCTCGTGGGTCATCTGAATGCATTATGGAAACAATAATTGACTGTGTGTGGCTCCGTCTTCATCATTGACTCAAGCACCATTCAACCTTGGGAGGTGTTAACTTGCTAGTGGCCCACACCCAAGCGAGTGGCCCATGTCGGCTAAAAAGGATGACATTTGTCTACTGTGGTAGTGTGAAGTGGAATGGTAGTTAGCAACTCGCATTACATTGATGTTCGCATACACAAGAGGGACGTGGTTCGGGTCTTCTCTGGGCCCCATTGTGCCCCTTACATGTGCCTCTCCGCCCTTCATAGGCACTCAATAGAATCCCCTGCTTTCACAGATCATATAGATAAACAGTGTGTATTGTTCGTGCATGTGAGGGATTGCACCGTGGTGTCACGGTTAGCACATTGGACCTACGATCCAAAGGTGACCACTTCGATATGCATCTCCTGTAGCTGCAGGTGCAAGTTTCTGACATGCACCGACCTCTGTCCATCTAGCAGTGTAAATGGGTGATCAGCAGGTTGTGTATCGTGCATTAAAGAGTGGAGTACTCCCACCTATTCAGAGATATCGGACCACAGTCAGAGAGTCCATCATCATCATCATCACGATCCGTGGGCAGATAACCCGTAGGTGTCCACTGCACATTTCGTCTTTTGTTTCCACTTTCCTCTGTGGTCACATCATTCTGGCACCAATCTCTTATGTCATCGTCAAGCCATTCTCTGTAAGGTTTTCCTCTCTTTCTGGTTCCTTCCATTTTTCTGAACAACACACTTAATTTTCCTGTTGTCCATCCTACATATTTGTCCAAAAAGTTCCTTTTCATCACTGCCTGCATCATCAGGTCTTCTATATGTGCAACCTTTTTCTTACTTTTACGTTGGTCACTCTTTGGGTCCAGCTTAAATGCAGAAGAGTAGGCGGTAAAATATCCTCCGGATGGGGCTGTCAACAGCTTCCTCTCTAGAGCTGTGGAACGAAGAAGTTAATTTCAGGGCTGCACCTTTACCTTGCGTGTGTATGGTACGGTGCATGCGTGTACGAGAACAGGTTTGCGGATTATGGATGTGTGCTCAAGATCCGCAGTGTGGAGTTCTTCCCGGACGGACGCTCGGTGCTGGACACGGAGGGGCTCCGGCGGTTCAGGGTGCTGGCACGCAAGCAGAAGGATGGCTACAGCACAGCCGACATCGAGTACCTGGAGGACACCAAGGTGAAACGCATGAATCACGCAGGCTTGTTAATGGCGCACACAACGGCAGTTCGCCCTCACTGCGATTCCACGCATTGCCTCGATTTGGAGGTCATGGTTTGACATGTTAAGAAATTATTTGTTCAGGGTCATTTATATGGTCCACCATCTTTGTTAACTTTTGTTCGTTAATCTTGGAGAACAATTTTCATGTAATTTGCATAAATTGTAAATATTCTATGGACAATTTAATGTTTGTATCATAAGTAATAGAATGTACAAGTTGATGTGTTGTTACATGTCCAACATATTTAGGTGCTGGCTATGTCCAATCCCTTTGGACATAATTATTTGAACCTGGCCTGACCTGCCACTATGTCAACTCGTGCAAATATGAGTGTCTGGTTTGGGGACTCTCCGAGGTCCACTCAACTATAAATGATTACCTGGTGCAGTGTGTAAATATTAGCAAAGACAGCAGAGCGCAGTGACGGTCAAAACACCCGCCTTGTGCACTGTTACGGCCTGCCTAGTGCTTGCTAACAGCACTTGCCCCAGCAGTCAATGAATTAGGCTACACGTGGAATCTTTGTTTTGTATGGATCTCTGTGTGCGAATACCTGGTGTGACGTGTAAACGTCGTCACTAAGGGAGAAAAAGGCGGTCGGGCATGGTGCTGGCCACCCACCTCCGCGTGTGCCATGCCAGCCTTCATAGGTCCTCACCAACAGCGCTTGCTCCAACAGTCTGTTAAGGCTATACGGGGGATATTTGTCTTTGTCCTCTCTGTGTTCACTGCAGGTGGAAGGAGCTGCGCTCACGGATCTATGTAGCCTGCACGAGTCTGTGTACAGCCAGGCGAGCTCCTGGTTCTCCATGCTCAAGGAAAACATGCGCCACCAGATCCTGCAGCACTTTGGTCCCATGCCGGGCAAGGAACCCGATCCCCAGGTACCCTGCTGCCTCACTGGCAATGTCTTTATACAGGAACGCACCATGACGTTAGAAGATACGCATCGGGCATTGAGAAGACCTGCAATGCTGTGCCGACCTGCGACGGGGAGTTTTCACAGTGCAAGGTGGTCAAATGTGGTGCTGATCATACCAAAGACGAAGAGACAAAGATCCCCCTGTATAGCCTTCACAGCCTGTTGGGGCAAGTACTGTGCAGTTAGCAAGCACCTGTAAAGGCTGGCACGGCACACGAAGGAGGGTGGGTGGCTAGCACCACACCCGGCTGCCTTTGTCTCCCAAGCAGCGATGTTTACACACCGCACAAGGTACTAATTTGAGGCTGAGTCGACCTAGGGGAGGCCCATAACCTGTTCAGATAATCATCGCTGGTGTTGACCGTGAGCGTAAATCGAACCTGGGTCGCCGGGTTCGTAATCCATCGTGTGACATACAACCCTTAATGGCGCTCCAGTGTGCTGTTTGACACGATGTCCGAAGTTTTTCAGCACATGCTGGAAGCTTCTTTGGGAACCCAAAATCACTTCGGATAGCTTAACAGTACATCTGAGAAAACCCCACGCAGTAGCAAGCCTTGACAGCTACTACCGACAATTCACCACTCTTAGAAATGTGTGGCTAAACATGGTATCTTTGTGCATACCTGTGTGTCTTTTATGTTGACCGAAGCTGGGCCCCGACGGACCCAGCTGGTGCTGGTGGATGCTGGCCGTGCTGCCGCTGGACATCCGAGCCCAGATGTCCATCACGTCGATGACGAGGCTCGTGGAGAGGCTGGTGGCGATTCGCCGTATCCTCATACTCATGACCCGCACACGTGCGCAATAGGCAAGACTGCATCGCGCACGAACATGTGATGAGGCAGCAGTCGCCTCCGCGGGACCGGTGTCGGATTGCTGCACGCCAGGCACATCAGTGCTTCCTCACCCTTATGCAAATAGCCATGATGTAGTCGCTGGGCACAGCGTCTAGTTTGGTAACATGACTGCGTTGTACTTATGCAGAACACTGGTGGGAGGGAAAAACAATGCCTTTCGGTGACCAGGCAGGGGCAATCAGATCATCTCCTGGATACTGAATTTCTGGAGAGCTGCGCGCATACCCTCCAATGGGCATCACCAAGTTCACTAATGGTCACTTGCCGTACCCAACCATCGATGCCTACTGATCTTAAGTGGCTCTATAGTTTTCTTGATTATGCAGAGAGCAGGTATTTGCTAGTTCGGTTGGTTGAATAATAAATGTACGGTTTAATCTGTTACTTCGTAGGCAATAGAGTGCTCTTTATGTACACAATAATTGTATATATCTGTATATAGTTGTGTGTGTGTATATATATGTTTGTAAATGTGTACATTTGTGTGTTAGTATCTGTATAGGTAAAACATTCAGGTGCAATGAAAGAATAAAGCATGGGCTGTACAGCTCCAGTAGATATGCCTCTGTTAGCTAACAGATTGGTCTCATAGGGATTGGACTGATCTCCCGATTGTCTTAGATGGTCATTGTGATTAATGAATGGGACAAATTGAAACGGAATGCAAAACTACGCAACGTTGAGAACACGGGACTCTGCTAACAAGAGACATCACAAATCACGCGCACTTAAGTCTTCACCCAACTGAGCTACACAAACACATCCTCGATGTACAAGATCAGATGCTGGACATAGTCTATGTGACACTCATTTATGCAATAAACTCTCGCACACGTGCAGTAGTTTTAACGCAGATGCTCAAAGTGACAGCCGTGGATTTTGTGTGCATTTTTTTTTAGTGTAATAGTAATATGCACACACGCACGTGGTAAGGCCGATTGATACATTTTTTAAAAATAAGGTGCCGTGGCCAGCATCACACTTGGCTTTCGTGTCCCCGTAGCCGATGTCGGCACATAGCACGAGTCAACTTAGGCTGAGTCAACATAAGGGAAGACCAGGCAACATTACATACAAAGATCCCCCGTATAGCCTGAACAGACTATTGTGCCAAGTGCTGTTAGCGAGCACCTATCAAGGCCGGCACGGAACATGAGGGGGTTGGTGGCCAACACCACGCCCTGCCGCTTTTGTCTCCCCAGTGATGATGTTTACACATCACACTTGGAACTCATTTAATGCTGAGTCGACCTAGGGGAGGACCAGGACCGGCTCAGATAATCGTCACATTACATATACACACTAAAAGAGATACACACACACAAACACATCCGTGTCTCTTTGACAATCCAGTATGCGTCTAATTTAAACGTGTGTTTAGGTGTGCTTTGTATCGCCTCTCGTGGCAAGCTCGGGCACAATTAAATACGAGCATTGAACACAGAGGAGGGGGGCTTCAAGTGACAAAATTGTCTGTATGCAATGTGAAGCATATTTTTTTCTATTCCATGCCTCACTCTTTCTAAGAGAAAATGCAGCCAGGAAGTGCTGTGGACATGACACTCGTTGAACGTTGACTGCATGTGTGATGTATCTCAACTCTTGCGAGAATATGTGCTGTGAATAAACAGTCCTGCAGAGAGTATCTCAAGATGACCCTATAAGTGTTGGAATTACATTTTATGCAGCAATTTTTTTCCGAAGGCTTGCGTTGCTCTCATTTTCGCCTGCTGCGATTTCATTTTAAAGCAGCTGCGGTACATTCAGCGTGCCAAGCCAAGCCCGTGCAATTATTGCAGTTGCGTGTGGTGGGTTGGAATTGGTCACGTGTTAAATGTGGGCTCATTGCATACCGGTGGAGTTATGGTGGCGTTTAAGCTCTTGTTTTGATGGGACACATTTAAGTGGTAATGAATGTGTAGAATTGGATTTAAAAGGTGGGGTGATTAGGAGCCATTACTTACTTCATTGTGTTACAGATGGGACTCATAATCTCTGTACTTTGCATCCCTGTACATACAGCTCACCTGACCCACTGATGCAAGGGTAAAATGGGTATTACAAAGCAGCGAACCATAGTATGCGAATGTCTGTAATTGACACATCAGATCCTTTTATAAAAACACATTTTGAAACCCTACTACAGCCCACCGTTGAATGTCGCCAAAAGTTGAGAATGTGGGGCAAATTTAGTCGGAACCTAACAATTTAAATTTGGTTTGAGAAGACTAATACACTTGGTTTGCAAGCTAGTTCCTTGGATAAAAGCCAATTTCCCTTTTTTATGAAGTTATGAGCAGATTCCTGAATTATAAAATGAAGTAACGAACCTTTTTATAAATCATGCCTGATCTGCCATACTAGAGTGACTTAGGGTGTTGGCTCTATACAAATCTGGATTTATATTGGTATCGTGATGCAAATTTATGGACGGAATGCTGCAGTAATCTCCACTGACTATGATCAATGGTGAGACAGTAAAATATGTAATGCCTTGGTTTTCAGTTAATTGGAAATGCACCCAAAGTCCCCCATTGTGTGGTTGTTCCATGGATTGAACCCTTGTCCCTTCACACAACAAACGTGTCCTCTATTCCTTTCGTTTAAAATAAGGCAGCTAGTAAACCAGACAGCCAAGCACGCTGTGGCTACATTGGACTCTAGTGAGGTCAAATCAACACGTCTTGCTATTCAAACGAGCAATGGTGCAGAAATCCGATTGGTTTTTTCAGCCCTGAGCCACAAAAACTTACACATTCATGTGGCAGGAACAAGCATATTCATAGAACAACCACCATTCGCTTAAATCATACGATCGACACAAGTTGGATAACTCGACCCCTAACTGTGATTTAAACTCGCAACCCTCTCGTTGCGAGTCGAACGTTGTAACTCCAGCACTGCCTGCCAGATAGGCCCCATATCATGATGCAGATATGATCATTGCAGCCCAACAAGTGCAAATAAGTCCTGGCTGCACCGCATACTTGTGTTGCACTCGCTCTTATTTTGCCATGTGCTTGTGTGACGGTCATGGGAAATTAAGTTCTCCAACACGTCTTACAAAACGGAGTTCTACAGCGATTGCGTCGGGAATGATATTTCTTTGTTAAGGGTCAAAACTGTGCTACAAAGGGACAAATTAAATTTCGTGGAAAAAATTGTCAATCGCTGATTGATTTGGGAACTGTCACAACCAAATCAAGTAATTTCATAACAAGCATACGAGCCGACAGTTGTGCTAAAAATCCAACCATTGCATCCAGCAAACTCACATTCATTTGTGATATCGGTGAGAAATTGCAGTCACGATAAATAAAATGATCTCATGTTAAGTTACTTTTCTTTGGGTGAATGCATAACGTTGTACAAAATCGGCTAAAAAGAATTGCGCAGCGTTGAATGTTGCTGTCAAAAACTGCAAAAACTCCAATGGCTAAAGACCAACGGTTGCAGCCCTTAAAGGCACACACATCCAGAGGAGGTTGCTCTCCCTCTCTGTAAAGTAAAACATAGTTCAACGTTGCCCATGGTTTAGTTATGATAATTCCTTGATAGTGTGAAAATACTTTTTTATATTCCATCTTGATACAGGGTATCAGCACGCAACTTGCATACCGCTACGTATGGTGCAAAAGAAGTTCCACATACAAATAGAGGTAAATATTTTCTTATTTAGTTCCAGTAATGGGAAGCAGCAATGTCTTGAAAAATATTGCGAGTTTTTTTTCACGTTCACAAATTGGCAAATAGAATGGCCTCCTGAAGGACGGGATAATTACTGCATTTGGAAACGTACCTCCTGTATTGTCTTGATTAGCACGGTTGGCTAAGTACGGTGGGAAAGAAGCTAAACATGCATACATAGACCCAGACCCCAACTGCACAGGCCATTGGCAACCCATGTAAATCTCCCATGAAAAACCCCATTGTAGAGTTAATATGCTACCCACACACACATAGGTAATGTACCACTCCGTTTATACATTCTAGATTTGAAGCTTTCGTGACTGCAGGGATTCATATTCTTAGGTTTTTTCGATAAAGTCACGTAGGTAAAAAACATTAAAAAGTAAAATAAAATAAAAAATCACGACGTTTCGGAGGCAACACAAGCTTCCGTCTTCAGGTGGTACCGTCACAGCCACGACAGCTGTATCAAGTAAATGAGAGATTGCAGTAGCTACCACTCCGTTTATATAATGGTTGGAGAAGATCGTGGGGCAAGGGGCACATACTTATTATTAATATGGTTAAGGTGAGGCTTAAGACTAAGAATAGACTGCATAACAAAGGCTGAGCCTTTGTTACATGGTTCCAAACCCTGTACAAATTGGTGATATACCACCGCCATACACATTTCCACAGAGGTCGTGTACCAACACCCTAGAAACCACACGGTTGTCATATATAATGTGAGGTTGTGGTGGTGGCGGTGTCACTGGCAGAATGTTGGTTTGGAGGGGCTGAAGGTTAGGTGTTCACGCAATAGGTGAGGTGGTTGTGGTGTGGGAGCAAGAAGTGGGCAGCCGGTTTGGCACTGCAGGCCACATGGCCCAGTAGTCTGCATACTGGCATTACTCTACAGGCCATATCGCTCAAATTTGAAACCGCAATGGCCGTGTGGACTACAGGCTTATTGGTGTCACTAAACGTGAAAATACATGTTTGTGCATCTGGTTTTAATGGGCGCAGTTCCTAGCTCTTAAAAGTTGGATGGGAAGTTACCTGCCCAGGCTCAAATAAAGAAATTATGCGCCGCAATCTTGTGCATCGTTCAGATTCGCATTTTCCAGAGCTATTGTATGGCTCGCGTGGAAGAAACTGCATTTCTGCATAAACTCGAATGGTGAGTAACTAGATCAGGGGATCACTCAATAATATAGGAAATAGAAACTTAAATGAATGCATCCAGAATAGTTGTATGCCTTGTAAAGGGTACAAACAGTTAATGAAATGGTGGCAGTTTTACCAATATGAATTTGTATTGACAAATTGTTCCATTGCAGTGTCTGGCCACAGTAGACTGAAACGTTAAAACGAAAAAGTCCATTTGAAGATGTGTTAATGGAACTGTAAAAGTAGGTAGTTATTTTCATATGATGGAGAAAATCTGTTTTTTAAACGACAATCCAATTACAGTGCATTTATTTTAAACGTGTAGATTTCCATAACGTCAGTTTTTCCCCCCGTACACGATACTGACAACGTATAAATGCATTGTGATATTAAAAAATTAACCCGTAAAAACAAAGTTTTTCACTATAAATCCTTTATATGCGTGTTCAATGGGCCACAACCCAGCCCACATTGGTCTTTGAAACGGGCGGCTAGAGTCCTCTCGTCCTCTGGCTTCAGATGGCTGCCACCTATGGGTCAGATGATTGCCTGCCACCATTAAGCAATTGGTAATTAAATATAAAAAAAATTTTACTAAAAAGTGTAAAATTTTGGATTTTTTTTTCACGAAAACATTGTCACGCACAACGAGTCTGTGTGCAAAATGTCAGCTCGATTGGATCACGGGAAGTGGGTTAAAAACGACCGAAAGATTTGCATGGTCGTAAGCGCGCAAGCAAGTGAACTTAATATAAAGGATTTAAAAAAAGTTTTACCCCGACACTCGAAACATCTGGCCCTGCACCACATCCGATAGAAATTCTTGGGAAAGCAGCAATATTTTTTTGGTTTACTACCAATGGTGGAAATTCGGCATTTGTCGTATGGCCATGTCATGCCAGTCTTTCCCGAGGACAACCATTGTTGACTTCACATTTCACAATCCCAAGAGATTATGAGACGAGTGGACTGAGATAATGTAACGAGATTCTTTCAGGTACAAAACAGGGAACATAGAAATATCGAGCGCAGCCGAGGCAGGAGAGGGGTGCTACATTTAGTTGGCGACTCCACGTGTCATTAGTTCAATACGTTCTCATTCCGTTTTTTCTTAAACTCCACAAACTCTTAAGCAATTCATGCAATTGGCAACCAAATCAGCATAATAGTGCTTTGTTGCCATGTGCAGGTCTTCTCTGGCTTTCCCTGATGCGAGTTCCTGCCCTCATGTATATCAGGTCACTGCTCTTTTCAGTGCAAACCTTGGGCTACCACTTAACTGTGCTTTGTGGTATAACTCACCGTTTTCGGCCGAGGGGAGTTGATCGTGAACACAGGAGTAGCTTTCGGAGCACGCTCGCTCCTCCTCACGAAGGTGAACATCGCCGCCCAGGAGAGAACTTTGTGTGTGAAGAGCAACAAGCTGCTTCTCGGAGTGACCCAAACGTGGCTGCACCCGCTGTCTGCACTTTATGAGATGCGTTGCAGTCTCCCGCTAAAGGGACTCGCGTGCGAACGCGCTGCAACTCGGGTTTCTGCAGTATGCCGATACTGTGATATTGTGCGACGTAAGACCCTACGATGATTGCATCGTCCATTTTGTAAAAAAAAATGATGAACGTGATCATTAATCGGTGCACGTTTTTTATTAAGTGTATGTCAAAACTAAATATTGAACAAGTGCAATAATTTATAAAAATAAAACATCTATGTATACTGCTGTTAACCATAACATCGGTCCTTTGCAAAATGTATTCCAGAATAACTGATTAGCATGGAGGTTATATGGCCTCATCATTCGCATGGTTCGTGTAATTAATTATTTTGTAACCCATCACGTGTGTTATGATCATGATAGATCGTTTGGTCGTAATGGTTAGATAAGTTACGGCAGGCTAATGTGCAGTGAACTGAAGTTTCGGAACATTTTTTTTACTAATCTTTATTCGCACTGGGAGTATAGCAAAACATAAATAGAAAATACAATTGTGAAATACAATTGCAAAGTTATTGGATACTGACATCACGACAATAGTCACACCGTTACAATTAATATTGCATCGTGAAAAATGAAGTAGCAGCAACCCGAGTTGCAACTCGTCGCTCGCTTAAAGACACGTTCTGTACTCGACCCTGCGTTTGCTCGAATACTTTGTAGACAACCGAGCGAAAGCAATGAGATGCTCCGAACGCGGCCATTGATGAGACATTTTAATCACTTGTGTAATATAGAGGGGGTTTTGAATTGAACAAAATCACTTTTTTAAATGGCCTCCACCAGTGGAACATATTGTGTGTGTGTGTGAAATCTAGAAAATACCCTCTCTCCACTTAAACTGACTGCAAAGCAGACAGGACATATCGTAGCTTGTTGCGGTAAATGCAGGACGGCTGCGGATGTCTCTTTTCGCTTGCTTGCTTGCTTACGACCGTGTAAATCTTGCGGTCGTTTTTTAACCCACTTCACGTGGTCCAATCGAGCTGACATTTTCCACACAGACTCGTTGTGCGTGACAATTAATGTTCGTGAATTTTTGTTCCAAAATTTTACACTTTTTAGGCAAATTTTATTTTATTTTACATTTATTCAAATAGAACTCATTCATGGCTTTGGCTGAACGTCACAGTGTAGGAGCCCAGAGCGTGACACCTCCACAGGCCCTGGCGGAGTAGCGCAGTTGGTAGCGCCCTCGCTTCCCAGGCCAAAGGTCGCGGGATTGATCCCCGCGTCCTCCACAGGCGAATATTTTTTTTTACATTTATTCAAATAGAACTCATTCATGGCTTTGGCTGAACGTCACAGTGTAGGAGCCCAGAGCGTGACACGTCCTTAGACCGTGGCGGAGTAGCGCAGTTGGAAGCGCCCTCGCTTCCCATGCCAAAGGTCGCGGAATCGATCCCCGCGTCCTCCACAGGGGAATATATTTTTAAATCCTTTATTAAATCCTTAATATTAAGTTCACTTGCTTGCTTGCGCGCTTACGACCGTGCAAATCTTTCGGTCGTTTTTTAACCCACTTCCCGTGATCCAATCGAGCTGACATTTTGCACACAGACTCGTTGTAAGTGACAATGCTCGTGAAAAATTTTTTCCAAAATTTTACACTTTTTAGGACAAAAATATTATATTTAATTACCAATTGCTTAATGGTGGCATGCAATCATCTGACCCATAGGTGGCAGCCATCTCAAGCCAGAGGACGAGAGGACTCTAGCCGCCACGCATATAAAGGATTTATAGTGAAAAACTTTGTTTTTACGGGTTATACTTGTTTTGCGGTGGTGTTGTGCTCACTGTGTGGTGTTTTAAGATCGTCTGGAGTTTTCGTGTAAAACGAATTCTTTTCGACATACAGGACCGACAGACAAAAACTGCTCCGTTTCATCACCGCGGACGTTTAGATCGCACGCTCAGCCAGAAATAGCAGGCCCCTCTTAAAGCCCCCGCTTCTTAAACCTGCGTGACCTACACTTTTCAATGAAGTCAAAAGAAATGGGGTGGGGGGTGGTGTGAACGGAACAATTCAAATCATAAAGTTAATTCATTTGTTAGTAATACAGCCTCCACGCTGTCCGTGTAGACCGCACATGGCCTGCGCTCACCACCAGTGTTGCGTTCTGTCATGTGGTTTGTATAAAAGTCACAGGAGGGGGATTGAGATGACCGTTGCCTCTTGCGCAATATGCACTCCCCTACCAGCCAGCCACAGAACGGCCTGCCGGGTACAGAACTCTACAATCGCAATGCATCGATTCACAATAACAGCTCGGCCGGACCCCTGTTGCGCTCGCCAAAAACACATAAGAGTCTGCAGGCAGACTTTTTTTTATATCAGGTAGCGTCTGGATAAAAATGGTATTGCTTCATGGGCTGGGACTCACCACAAGGATCCTCTGAATCCCAACAGCTTCAAATGAGTCAAGCCCCTTTGTAGTTTACCAACACGCAGCGCTGGTGTTTGTTGTGCGCGGCGCTGCTTGACGTTTGCGGCTTGGCCTCCCGAGTTCTGCTCGTCGCGTTTTTCTGCGTCGCTTGGTTTAGCAGTGGTCCCGCAGTGCCGCCCTCCTGTCCACTCCCTCGCCATGCGTCGCACGCGTTGGTGTTTTTTTGGAGCCACGGGGGGGGGTGGGGGGTAAAGTAGTGCACACAGGTGGCAGTGGACAAGAGAGGCTGGGTGTGAGGGCGGAGGGTGACGGCAGGATGATTGCATTCACCGTGAAGCAGTTTGTCAACAACTACTCGTGCGAAAGAGAGGCACAGGGAGTGTGTGCTGGTTATTTCTGCGTCCCACTTGTACTCATCACAGGAAAGTAGTGTAATCAATTACGCAAACTGTCGTAATATTTTTAAATAGTTTTGACTTAGGGGCCGTCCATGAATGACGTCACGCACCTGGGGGGGGGGGGGGTCAGACATTTGTGACGATGTGTGACAAGGGGGGGGGGGGTTAAGAAATGTGACGTCACATCAAAATGCGCAACTTTAAATAAATATAGACACGTTCTACTTAATTAAATACATTTTTTAATAAATGTTTTCTCCTACAACGTCAGAGTGCGGCGCCATATTAAATAGGCACTACAATGACAATAGTTTAAAGCGATTTGAAGCATGTTTTATTTTCTTTGGGGGGGGCAGAGCGTTGTGACGTCATATTTGAGGGGCGGTCTGACTTTTTGTGACGCCGTGTGACAAGGGGGGGAGGGGAGCAAAAATCGTCAAATCGCGTGACGTCATTTATGGACAGCCCCTAATCAATTTCGCAAACTGTCATAATAGTTTTAAATGGTTTTGACTTAACGGTCCCTGTGATCTCGGTCTTATAGGGGGCACAACATTGTATTGTGTATTTCTGTTTCAAATTCCCCAATATCGTATTTAACAACATCATTCTAACATCATTAACAAGAGAGTGAAATAAAGTGCTCAAGGGTTTCCAATTCCACCTCTGACTTTTATCCAGTTTCACATAGCGGCGGATAGTCTCCCCCCATTTAAATACATCTGAATTCAGTTGGGGGTAATCTTGGTGTTATTTGCTTGTGAACAATGTGTATGTCGGACTACAACGCACCCACTACCAAGGAAAACGTCTTCTGCATGTAAACGTGGACTTTCAATATTTTATGCTTGAGTCACTTTTGGGAGGTGCCAACACAGCCATGGTGTATTTGAGCAAGGTTACTTAAGTTTAATCAAACTAAGCTTATATACAGTATATCCAGTATTTTTTTGATTTTTCATTATAAACGGAATAGCGTTTATGTTTTTAAATGTGTTTACAACTCCAACCGTTCAGGCCTCAGAAGTTATAAGGGTAAGTATATGACTTGGTCCTGGCAGAACATTGATGCCAGGGCCCTGTTAAAACCTCAAGGATGGCTCCTTGTGCCTACAGGTGCCACATGCATGTTTGCGTCTCAGTCCCCATGGCCCCTCAATGACCATGGTTCTCAGCTACAG